CCAGGGAGAACCATATCTCTAACTTGTTTTTAACTGTTTAATGAAACTGTCAAAGGGTTAAATTTTAGCAATCATAAGCAATATATTAAAACATGAAAATCTCCTGAGTTGATATTAACTGAGATTTACTCGTACTTTCCTTAAGTTATGTACCACATATCTACTGTCTAGACAGTGTCACGGAGACACTGTCCTCTGTGAAGAATACAAAGAAAATTTAAGTTCTGAGCTCCAATTCTGCACAGTTTGCGTCAAACTGAGATGCTTGACTGCAGGAGAGGCTGGAGCTGAACCATCTGCCTGACAGCTGCCTCTTTAGCCAGCACTGACCTGTCCAGTCTAATTCAACTGTTAGCAGCATTTGCACATGGAGTGATAGTTGCTGAAGAATTTCCACTGCCATTAATCTCATTTTGGGTAGGAAAAAATGGGGAACAACAGAAAGGCAGAAAACGATAGGGGCTGAAACACAGAAAAGTTGTTTTAGAGAAAAAGCCGATTTTCAGGCAACCCCAACTGAGAGCAGCTCTTGAAACGTAGGAATTGTGTTCTGCCTCTATAGTTAACCTGGTTGTTTACGTGGCCAGTTGCTCCCTGGGCATCACTGGAAACCAATGATGCAACATAGTGTTGGCCTTTGAGTCAGAAGATCTGGTCTTTTCATTTCCTGTGTTGCTTATTAACAACAGAGGGGGAGTGTCCATCGATTGACTTATGCCCCTGACTTTGAAGCTGCTCCACTGATCAAACAAGTTTTGAAGGCAACTTAAATGAAAAAATACCTGGAATGGACTTAGACGCACAACATACATGACTCAGAATTGTGTGATATTAGCACAATGTCACATAACTTGGGAGAAGTAGTGTTACGGAGAAAAACATCTTGGTTGGAAAACTCTTCAAATGAGTAAGTCCCAGAAACAGTTTCAAAGCTTCCCCAAACCCTTTGTGAAAATGGTTTGACCTTTGGGATCTGAAAGTTTAGAAAGCTTCAGGAATGAGCAAAAGGAAGAGAGAAAAAGGAGAAAGGGAAGAAGACTGGAGAGAGAGCACATGTGAATGAAAGAGAGCAAGATCAGGAGCTCGGGGAAGTCGGTGAAATTCCCACATGGTGGTGGTGAAGGATACCTGCCTCCAAGGAATGGAAGGGAGATGGGGCTATACCATTGTCCACTAGCAGTGTTATCCCTATCTCTGGCTAACGACACCCACTAGGTCCTTGGAAATATGACACATAAAGCTTTGAAATCTATTGGTGAAGCCAGTTGAGTCAAATGAAGAGAGATTTGTATGCATTTGGACCAGCTGTTCTTCTACAATACAGCTTTCATCCAACTGGGATCTTGTCACTCATCTGCTTATATTGATATTGATTAGTACCATGCCTAGTTACTCAAGCCCTCAATGACACAATGTAGTAGAAACAAAAAAACTCATGGCTGCTAGCTTACTTTCCTTAACTCTGATGCTAAGAGCAATCATTTGGTCATCCATTCAGGAAAAAAATAAATAAATAATGAAAGGTGCATCTTATGTTTGCTACCAGCAAGGGGCTGGCACCAGGGAGAGGCTAGTTGTACACAGTGTACACAGTGCCACATACAGCTAGAGGAAGTGTCTTAATAGAGACTTGGTACACAAGATGCTCTGGAAATATATTTGCCCTTAGTTCAGTTGTGGTGATTCTGCCAAGAAGAAATAAATATAGGGAACAGAAATAAGTATAGGACAGATTACATACACACACATCAGCATGTTCATGTGTGTGCATGCACATGACCACACACACACACATACACTTACCAAACAGTCTACAAACAGCTGTAGAGAATCTGTTCCCTGAAAAATATTATACAAACCATAAAAGAGATTGAAAATAGTTCAGTGTTAGGTGATTCTTAGAAATCAAATTTTGGGTGTTATTTAAACTATTCCAAGGATTGGAAAACCTTGAGTTTATTTTATTTTAATTACTCTGAACTGGTTTGTTACAGATGTGCAAATGTATGTTTTGAACTGGTTTGTTCCAGATGTGCAAATATGTATTTTTGAGCCCAAAATCTTCCAAATGCATTTTAAAAACAGAAATTGTAGGATGATATATTTGCAATAAGGTACTTATACCACATATTATGTTTCTATGGGTTTGCAGTAGTGATCCATGATTAGATATATTAACACTTTTATTGGAATATGTATGCATGCTTACATGTTAAATGAATCATAAAAATTTGAAATTTAGGGGGTTTTGAGTTTTTCTGTCTTGAAATAAAGGATTGTGGACTTGTACTTGAGAAGAAAACAAATACAAAGTTAACAAGTATTATAATATTAGTAGGATATTGGACCAGCTGTTCTTCTACAATTTAATCTTTTGTACATACACACACACACACACACACACACACACACACACACACACACACACACTGATACTTCTTGCTTAACTTGTTCAGACCTCACAGAGAAGATGAAATCAAGAGTCATTTTGCAGGATATGTGTCAGTTATGTGGGGAGGGCAGATTAAGATTGAAAACCATTAGTTTTGATGAACTAATGCTTAATTTCAAGTTGTATATGAAGGAGGTAAATTAAGTATTGAGTTTTTCTTTTCTTTTCTTTTTTTTCTACAATTAGAATGGCAACATAAAATATAAAGCTCCTATAAAAAGCAAGCCGAGATTTTACCATGTTTTCTTTACCATATTTTCTTAAAAATGTGTTTTTAAACCAGAAGATAAAAACTACCCTATTTTGTTTTCAATAATTTCTATAATAATATACTTTGCCAAAGAAATTTGAGTGTTCTGGTACATATATACATGAAGATTTAATATGTAACCTGGAAACTGTTCTCTTCCCATTATTATTAAACCTCATTATTTAGCATCTACTTAAGTCATACAAGAGAGAGAACTTCTACAATTTGTTTTGTTGCTGCACTGTGGTTTAACTGTTGGGTTTAAAAGAGATGTTGGCTCTGAGTTTTAACCTTGTGGAAACCAGAGCCCTGAGAGATGTGCTAGAGATCACACAGCTCAATGAGGGTGGAATTCATACAATCTGGATTTCTGACTTTGATTCAAGGCTTATTCCACCAATCTCATGTTATTACCTGTGGTTACCTTCATATGGAATCAAAACTGGGTTCAAATTGTTGTAGATGGTTAGAATCAGTAGCATAATATAAATCTTAAGTTTTGGACTGTATATAGGATAGGTTATTAGAGGAAAAGCTACAACATAGATGTGTCATCAAACTACTTATGTGTAAGACCAGGTTATCTCATTGGGTAAATATTCTATTGTGCATCTCTTTTGCCAGAAGATGGGGTATAAGGTATCAACTGATAAAATTGATTTTGAAATCTGTTTCTAGGGTCTTGTTTAGAGAAAATTAAATTATGCCATAAGAGTCAACATTCAGTCAGATTGCAAAATTTTGATATGTTTTCTACTGTCATCAAAAAACAATCAGTGGCTATATATAAATCCTCAGATATTGATAGAGGCAGGAAACTTTGGAATCAAGATCCAATTTCCTTGAGATAAGTGGATAGAAGTTTTCTCACATATGGTTTGGCTATAATCAATTTTTGGCTTTTATTAGCATTTCCAACAGCAGAATGATACTGGATGTTTACTAGGATGGAATAAGCCACGTTCAGTTGTGTTTTCACATGGTGATTTATGACTGAACCAGGCAATGAGCCTTTTAAGACATGTATTATTTCTCTAAGTCCCAGTAGAAATAATGCCATTAAGTTTTATCCAAGCTAGCTAAAATCCCTTTCCTGATGAAATCTCTGAATAGAGAGGAAAAGACTCTCTTGAGCTATTGTCACAGCACAGGCATGTCTTGAATTAGTGCCATTTAGCAAGTATTTATTTCCATCAGATATTTAATCCAGAAAGCAAAATCCATATAAAAGTTGTAGGGGTAAGTGACACCTTATCCTATTATCAATATTTTCCTTGTAATGCCCCTCTCTTGTATGATCTGGCCATCTGGCCCACATCAGAGGCAAAGAACGTATATTGCTACATTGCATTATGACCAATGGCCATGTGAGAATTTACGTTTCTTCTCCAAAGCAATTGGTTAAGAATCCCTACCCCCCAACAATTAAGCCATGCATAAAATATAAATATGATTTAGGTATTGACCAAAAAAAAATCCAGATTTCTTACTAATTTAAAAGTGTGAAAAGAGACTATATTGACAGTGAAAGTTGTGCTGGCCTTGGAAATTAAGGATTTGCTTTGGAGTTCTGCCAGTCACACACCTTCAGCCAGTCATTTGGTATCTCTGAAGTCCATTATCTAGATGAGACAGTAATCTAGTTTTAGATTTTGTAAAGGTGAAAGCAACTTGTATGTTGTAATGCCTAAAAGTGTTATTTTTACTTTGTGTTAGTAAACACCTTCAAGTTGGGTTCTTTTTTTAACTTGCACCAAAAATAACAAGTTCACAATGGAATGTGTTAATAGCTGGGAATGTGCAATCTCAAAATAATGATACATGCTTTTTCAGTTTAGAGATGTAACATCTGCTCCTATAATGTCTGTGTGAGGTTATTTTAGAAATTACACTTTCAATGTCAATTTTAGCAGGTATAGGTTAAAAATAAGCTATCACACTAAACAGAAGTAACTGACAAAAAAATAGCATGGTTTTGTCAGTTGGTACAATCCATGTCACTGAAAGATACGCTCCTATCACTTGTGACAGAACCTTTATTTATTGGTTATTTCCATTTATATCCCAGGGATGTCTGATTCATTCAGAATCTTCATGACATGAGACTGTTCAATATTTACTTCAAGTTTGGGCTTCAGTTTAATTAATACATCATTCTTTTACTCCCAAGAGATTATTTTAAGAAGGCTTTCTTATAAGGATGATCTCACCTGAACTGTCAGGTAGATGTGGAGGACAGGTATGCTCAGTACTGTCCTAACCTAGCTCGTCGTTCTCTCTCGTGGTTTTTCTTTACAGCAGCACCCCTGAACTCTCTGAAGCCTGCAAGGGTGGACAGTGCTCCTGTGGTCTCCTCTCCCTATCAAAGACGAGATTCAGACAGATACTGTGGGCTCTGTGCAGCCTGGTTTAATAATCCCCTGATGGCCCAGCAGCATTATGATGGCAAGAAACACAAAAAGAATGCAGCAAGGGTCGCTTTATTAGAGCAACTTGGGACGACCCTGGATATGGGGGAATTGAGAGGTAAGAGAAATTCTTCTAATTGCTGCCATAGAAATGGACTTTCAAAAAATGATTTTTTTTTTCTGGAAATTGGGTGAATGCTTATTGCTTTGATTACTAAGGATGACTAAGGTCATCCGAAAGGAGTAGAAGGAAAAGGAAGAATGGAAAAGTAGCTCAATTTTTGTAAGCTGCTTTGGTTTTAAGTGTTTGCTATTTCCTTTTTTTTTTTTTTTTTTATTGATCATGTTCAGGTCAAAACCACCCATCCATGAAGCAGGTCTTTTATCTTCGGCATCCCCTTTAAACATCTTCTCTAATGAATGTTTTCATGGATGAGCTATATGGGAGAAGATGATAAAAGGTCCAGATTGCATTCAATTATTTTAAACTTTTATGCTTTTTATAGAATCAGTCTAAACAAAACAATACATTACTGTACTTAAATGGCTTAAAGCAAGTCCAGACCTTATTTTTTTATTATATTGCTAGTGAAGTACCATTATTTTACATCCTTGCTAGTGCATTTAAATATAGGATTAGCCCCTCGGGTAGAGTAGCCATATAATTCCCTCCACTGAAGTACCTAGAGTTTTTCACCATAGTCCATGATAACCCCCATTTCCTTGTTTTTACTCCCCCAACCCCTCAGAAGGCCAAAGATCTTGGTCTGTTTTCAAGTTTGTCTGATACTTTGTTTGGTTTCTCTCTATTCCACACATAAGTGACACCATGTGATATTTATCTTACACCTTGTGGCTTATTTCACTCTGTCTAAACCCTTCCGACTCCATCCATGTTGTTGCCAATGGCCTGAGTTTTTATGATTGCTGAGTGATACTCCACAGTATATATATACTGCATCTTTTGATTCCCTTTTCTGTTTTGGGCCTTTCAGTTGTTTCCATATCTTGGGGGATTGAGGTGAGAGGGTGCCATGTGTCCCTGGCTTCCCTGCCCCCACCCTGTCAGTTATTTCCTCCATTTATGGGAAAAACGCCTTTGGAGTTCATGTGAGGTTTCACAGAAGTTGCTGAGCAGAGACTTGGAAAACAGAGGGTGAGGGGTAGCTCCGTGGGTTCCTTAGGGAACCTCCTTCCAGTGTGCAGGGTATAATAGAGTATTTCACCATCAACTTATGTTTAGGTATTTTTTGATCATTTATACATTTTTGATCAATTTGATGTTGGCTCTAAAAGTGAAACGATGTCACAGACTATATTTTTTTGAAAGAAAGCTTTTTTTTTTTCCTCTCAGAAAAACAACTCTGCAAAGGATGCTATTGATATATACCTCAGATGTTGTATGGGTTAGTTAAGCTTTTGTGAGCTATTCACAAAATCATCATTCATATTAGCTGCAATAACAAAATTTTACAAATCAATTTTTGAGAATGAAACTTGGGTTTAAACTGGGTTCTGCATGTTCAATTCTTATTGTATAAGAATAACAGTTTTTATTATCCTAACCTGGCTGTGAGCCTCCAAGAAGGATAAATGACCTAGTGCAATTCCAGACCAAATAAGCAGCTCCTGCTTTGTGAACGGAGAAGAGGGACAGTTCAGTTTATACTGTTTGGGGGAGACCGCCAACAAAGAGACTTGAATGGACATTCCCTGTGATCAGAACCATACATATATGTGGTCAGAGGTAGGGAAATGCATGCTATAGCAAATAAACATATGATCATAAAATACTATACTGCAGTACAGATTTAAGATTGGAGGTCCATTAGTACATCTATAGAGATTTACTAAAATGATACTTGATTTAAATAACAAATAAGGGCAAATATTAGGCACACTTTTTTTTTTGAGTGTGTATGTTCTCTATTGTGAAACAGTATGGAATTTAATATTTCATTATGTTAGATAATATTACTGCAGGGAATTTTGAATCATTGGAAATACTACTTTTTGGATTTCTTAAGTCTTAGGTTCTCAGTCAATTGCCTGGTTAAAAAATACAAGAATAGCCTCTCTATAGTTGAAGATCTACCCACAACTTGCTGTTACTGTCAGATAACAAGTTGTCTTAGTGACTCCTTCACAGCAGGGCACTGAAGGAGAAAAATAGCGCTTTATTTATGTTATGTGCTAGCTATTATGACTAGTAGAAGAATTATTCCTAGAGCACATTCTTCTTGTCTATTTTGAATTATTAGCATTGCATCTTTTATGTACAACTACATCTTAATGACTTGGGAGTCTGAATTCTGTACCATTTGCGCAGCCTGTCTTTTATGCAGAAGACAAAAAAGGGCTGCTCTTTGACTTGCTAACTCAACGTGACTATGACTCAGGAGCACATGAAATGTGATTAGCATTGAACACAATGTCCTTGAAACCAACCTTTTCACCCACCCCAGGTGACGTCTTGATATTTATTTATTCAGGAACTAAAGATCATAAAAGTTTGAGGAATAAAGTAATGATGAAAACCCAGCATATTTTAGCGCACACACACACACACATGCACGCACACACACACTTCCTTATGTTTGAAATGCTTGTAGTGCACTATCAATCATTAATAAAGAAAAAATGCTAATCAGGCACATCTATAATGCAAGCATACCTATTACTTAAAAAAATGGCATCAAGCAGCTGGAGCACAATATGGCACCATTAAAGGCTTTCTGTCAGCACAGCTCAGTTTTTAAGCACTCCACATTTACTTAGTTGAAATAGGTTTCCTGATTTTCTGTCTTTCTTTCTACCCCACCTCCTACATATTGTTAGCACCTTCAAAGCAGACATCTGTCTGTTTTGTTCATTTATGTGTTCAAAATACCTAGAACAGTGACAGACATATAATCATAGTAGTTTCTGAAGTGAATAAACAGAGAAATCAAAAATTAAAAAATCAATTCAAGTCCTATATTCTTAACATGACAGGCATTTTCACTTCTAAAAGGTTCTTTTAGAATCATTTTCATAAGGAATTATGATTTTTATCTAATTCTTGAAAAATGATGTATATGTTACATGTTATGAGATGTAGAGGTTGTACATAGTGTAGTTCAGTGAGTTTTGACAATGAAAACACCTATATGACCCGCACCACTATGACGATATATATCTTCTTGAGCAGATAAATCCTCCGGTCGCTTCCCAGTCAGTCACAACTGAGGAAGCGTGGTTGTCTTAATTTCACCATTGATTAGTTCTCACAGTCCTAAAACTTCATGTAAATGGAACAGAAAGTAAGTGGGGTTTTGTTTGTGTCTAGCTTTTTGGGGGGATAGCATACATTTTCTATTAATTTGATGTAGAGTAACCCCTTCTTTATTGCTGAGTAGTTTTCTACTATACAAAATCCCCATAATTCAGGATTCATACTTCACTGGTTTTTCTCTTGATTTTTGTCAGGCTGTTTTGAATGAAGCTTTCATAAATGTCACTTTGGTCAGCATATGTATTACTTCTCTTGGTAAATACGTAGCAGTAAAATTTCCAGGTCATATTCAGGTGTGTTTTTAAGAATATAAGAAACTGCCAGTTTCTTCCCCCCCAAAGTAGTGGCATCTTGTTGTATCCTCAAAGATATAAATTATTTTCAGTTTTTTAAAATATTAATCATTCTTATGTAGGAGAATATTTCATGGTGGTTTTAATTTGCTCTACCATGTTGACTGATGCTGCGACTTTTAAAAAATGTGCTTCACAGTTAATGATATTTTTGAAGTATATGCTCATGTGTTTTGTTGATTTTTAAATTTGGTTGTCTTTCTATTATTGAGTGGCAGGTAGGAGATTTTCAAATAATAATGCAAGTCAGGTATCAGAGACATGCTTTGTGACTATTTTATCCTAATCTGTGACTTGGCTACTTATTTTCTTAAATAATTTCTGGTGAGTAGATGTTATTAAATTGGTGGTCTAACTTATTTTACCTAAATCTTTTAAAGTTATTTTTTTTTAAGATTTATTTATTTATTCATACAGAACTGGCGTACAGGCCAGAGATGCGGAAGGTGAGAGGATTCACCAGGGACAGAGTGGGGAGCAGAACAGGCAGATCGACGAAGTACACTGCTGAGGGGAGCAGTGGGTGGGTCAGGAGAGGTCTGCCTCGCCATGTGATCACCTCCGGGGCAGGCGGGGATCGAACTCATGCAGAAGTGGCTTTAGCTTCTCAGTGTAGTGCTTTAACTCGCTGCGCCACCAAGGAGGGCCTAAAGTTATTGTTTTTAATGTCCCGTGTAAAACAATCTTTTACTATACCCATGAGTAAAGATAATCTTATTTTTTTTCTATAAATTTCATTACTTTAACTTTTACATTTAGGATTATAACTATCTCAAATTATTTTTTTTTCTTATGGTATAAGATAGGGTTGAAATACATTTTGTTTGTGTACTTTTATCCTGTTACAGAAATATTTTTAAAAATGTTTTATATTTTTCATTTAGTTTTCTTGGCACATATTTATCAAAAATTCACTGATAATGTGAGTCTCTTTCTGTACAGTACATTGTGTTCCACTGTTTTCTTTTTCTTTTTTTTTTAATGAACTTTTGTTAATGTACCATTGGCTTGCAACACCGTATAAATTCTATGTGTGTATATGCTTTACTACACCAAATTCTGATACTTCCCTCACCATTGATTTCTTTGTCTGTTTTCATGTCATTATAGTATTGTACTGATTTTTCTTCATTACAAGAGTCTTGAAATCAAGTATTACGTGCACCCAGCTTTGTTCCTTCTAAAGATGTTTGTTATAAATTCTTTCTACATAAATATGATACATTTTGTGAAAAAATTTGTGAAAAATTTTGACTTAGCTTGTTAGTCTCTATATAGGAAGTTTGTGTGAATATTTAATGGGATACAATTGATGGGCCAAATTGAGGAGAATTTATTTTAGATTTTTCACAATATTCAATCTCCTAAACCATGGACATTCTGTATCTGTTTTTAAGATTAGCAATCTTAAAAGATTTTACTATAAAATGTATTAGATTTTACTAAAAAGTATATATAAATATTTTACTGAAAAGTTTATATTGAAATGTA